GAGCATGTTTATAACTTTCATCTATATGTGCATTTGATATTTAAATGGGAGGTTGTTTTGAAATTGCTGGAAATGAAAAATAAGTATTATCATGTGAAGGTTTAATTGGTAGTAATTGTTTAAAGTCTTTAAATCCTAATGCACCATGTGTTATAGATGATTCTATAAGTGTTGTTTTTCCTAAAATAGATACTTGTATTGGATATCCAAATAATGAAGAATAAATATGTAAATAAACAGCTCCTTCTAAATGTAAAGATGCAGAAGAATTAGGATAAGTAAGTCCTATTGTTTGTAGTAAAGTAAGTGATAATTGTTATTATGATGGTACTAAATGTTCATCAGATACAAAAAAGAAAAAATGCAATGAAACATTCAGCTAACTTGCTTGTTTATCTAATGGATGTGATTTTACTCTAGGATTTTGTCAAGATGTATTCAAATCTCCATCTTTTGATTCATTATCTCCATTTTATCTTTATTAATGTTAATACATTAGTAAGTTGAGTATCTCAAGTATAATTAAAAGATAAGTTTGTGTTTAAATGGATTTTCCTTGTGCCTTTTAAAATGAATAATGTGTTGCTGCAGCATAAGCTTATTGTTAAACTTTAAATTAATTACCAGTCACTAAATAAGCATGTATATATTGTATAAATGGATCATATTCTTATGATTCTACTACAAATTATTGTAATTCATTAGTAACATAATAAGTAGGATGTAATGATACAAATAAAGATGGTTGTTTAAGTATGACAACTGGTAAGAATTGTACATGGAAAAATGGTTAATGTGTTGAATAAAGTAATTCAGAAGTTGAAAATTTAAAAGATTGTTCATTAACAAATTCATTTGGTTGTCCAAAAGTAGCAAATTCTTGTTGGACATCTCCTATAACTAAATTTTGTTCAATGGTAGATGTATATTCAACTTGTAAATTAATTAAATAATAGAATGGAAATCAATTAGCATGTATAATTAGTAATTTATAATCATGTTAATGGTTAAATAATGCATGTGAAGATTATCCATTAGATAGTTTAGATTGTACTTTAGCTAATAAATATGGTTGTTTAAATTTAACAAAAGTTCCTTGTGGATGGTCTGAAGAAAATTAAAAATGTTATTCTATATCATATAAATCAACAATAACAAAATGTACTGAATTCTTTGATTCAAATAAGAAATTAATAAAATTTAATTCATAATCTTGTTAATAAATTTAAGATGTTCCTTGTTTTAGAGATAGAACTTAAAAATGTAATGAAATTGGATTAAAAGATAAAATAACATGTGAAACAATAGGATTAAATAAATTAGGTTGTTATTTAAATTCAACTGGATATTGTTAATTTATAGATGGATAATGTTAAACAATTCCTGATTTAAGTAAAATTACTTGTACATCTCCTATAAATAAAGTAACATGTTTCAGTTTAAAATTAACTTGTAAATTTGCTGATAATGAATGTTAGGATTATGATGTAAGTACATTTACAACTATTGCGTAAATTACTAAAGAGGAAATATTTCCATATTCACCTTCTGTTTGTTAATATTATAAAGAATTAGAAGGAAAATCTTTATTATTAATATATGATTCTGTTAAAGGATGTTGTTTAGATGGTGATTTAGGTAAACCTTTCATTTATGATTGTAATTCACCAGGTTTAAATGAATTAACATGTTTAAAATAAACAAAACCTACATGTTAATTTATTAATAGTAAATGTTAAACATTAACAAATAAGATGATAAATGATTCAAAGATTTGTGATTCAACATTTAATTGGAATGCTTGTGTTTAATTAAAATTAAAATGTAAATTTTATTAAAATAAATGTTAACCAGTAGAAGATTCTGAAACATGTTTATCTTTAGCTAATGTTATTGCATCTCCATTAACTTGTTCTAGTAGATCAATTGATTTATAAGCTTGTATTTTTGATTCTCTTACTTACAGTTGCAAAATATCTATTTCTACTACTTTATCTTGTACTTAGAGTGGATTGAATAAATATGGATGTACTATGAATACTGATTTAGAATTTTGTAGATTTAATGATATAACAAATACTTGTATGTCTACTTATGAAACCAATTTAAGTTGTTAACATTTAACAAATGAAAATAAATGTCTTTTTATTAAGACTGCTAAATAATATTGTAAATTTGATAATGGATGTTCAGCTATAGATCCACTATAAGTAATTTCTTGTTATGATTTAACTCCTACTAATCCAATGACATGTACAGCTGCAGAATCAGTAGCATGTAAATATGACAGAATTACATAAAAGTGTGTTTCAGTTCTTGCAGATATGGATTTAGATGAACCATAATCTAATATGGTTTCTTTTAATAAATTAGCATGTATGAAATATCAAACAGATAATAAATAAGTTATTTATACAACTGAAGGATGTATAGAAGTTGATCCAGAAGATTTAGCTAATCTTACTTGTGATTAACCAGTAAATTAATTTACATGTTCTTAAATTACTAATCCAACATAATATTGTATTTATAAAGATTATAAATGCTAATTTATTTTACCAACAGAAATTACAATTAAATCTTGTGCTAATATAGGTTATGTTAATTAATAAGAATATTGTGAATAATCTGATGATGTACCTTGTAAATTCAATTCATTTACTAAATTATGTGAAGAAATAGATTTAGATACAGAACCAATTACTTCTTGTATAAGAGGAATTAATAAATTGGCTTGTGAATCTTTAGCATCTTGTAGATTTGATTAATTTTGTTTAGAAATATCAAAAAGTTGCACAGGTAGTACAGATTGTACAAATGTAAATGCATAACCTTGTAAATTAGATAATAATAATAATTGTATTTTAGCAACTGAATTAACAACTCTAAATTGTGATTAAGTAGTTAATAAACTTGCATGCATATAAATTACAACTCCACTTTAATATTGTCGTTTTTCTTAATCATTATGTTAATCTGAAGATTTAATTGAATTTAAAAATGAAGAATGTGAAAATATAACAAATATCAATTCACCTTATTTCTGTGAATAACCAACTGATATTGCCTGTCGTTATGATCAATTCCAAAATAGATGTGTAGAATCTTTACCTACTGATAATATGGATTGTATTAGAGGTTTAAATGAATATGCTTGTCTTAATTACACAAAACCTTCTTCAAGATGTAGATTTACAGATTTTTGTTATGGACCTACTTAACCTATGTTTGAATGTGATAATACTTTATTTGATTGCTGCAATAAAGCTCCTGATATGAATACTTGTCTATTATAGAATCTCTTGGATTGTTAATGGGATGGTACTAATTGTATCAAATATACAAATCCTATTACTACATGCACACTACTCAATACTTCTAAACTTACATGTATCAAATCTACTGATAAAAACTGTGTATTCGATCTATCAACCAAATCTTGTATATAAATATTAGAACCTACATCATGTGATTAATTATAATCTGCTGAATAATGTTAAATGGTTCTTACAATACCTTGTATTTGGATAAATGAATAATGTAAATATCATGAATCAACAGTCTATGAAGAATGTGTAGATATCACTTCTGCTTTTGGATCTATGAGAGCATGTCTGAATATTGTAAGATCAGGATAAATGTGTTAATTTAAAGAAGGTTAATGTTCCTCTTATTTTCATGACTCTGATTAATGTTTAGATAACATTAATAAAGTTGCTTGTATCAGTTAAACTACTACTAAATGTTATTGGAAAGTTGAAACTATTCAAATCAAAAAGCTTAAGACTTCATAACCTATACCTGTTGATTTTGGTACTTGTGCTTCTTTTGTTGATGATAAAATCACTCTTTGTAATGAGAATTTAAGTTATTTATCATGTTTTTCTATTACCACTCTAAAATAAAATTGTAAATGGTTAAATGGAAAATGCATTTCTATACCTTTATCTGATTCTATTGTTACACCCTAAACTCACGCGCTTGTAAATGTAAATGCTTGTGCTCTTGTTAATACAGAACCAGTCTATTATGACTCTAAACAACATTTTTGTGTCAAAGTTTAACCTACTGATTCAATTGCTTGTTTACCACCTACACCAGGATTAAACATGAAAGCGTGTCTTACTATCACCAACTAAAGATGCAGATGGAATTTCGATAAACAGTAATGTGAATTCTCTAAATCTAAAATTAACAGGCAACTTTGATTTAAAATTATCAATCTTAACATTTAATAAATAAATTTTTCTTATATCATATATTATAAAATAATATTGAACAAAATAAATAAACAATGAGATACTATAATACTTAATATTATTATTCTTCAAATCAGACAATTTATGAAAATAAACATTATAAAAGATTATGTTATATTAATTTAAAAGAGTTTATTAATTTTTATTTATATATATCTAAACTAAAATATATAAGTATTTAATAACATCTCTAATGAATTATGAATTCTCAATCAAGATTTTCTTCAATTTTAATAAAAGATTGAATAATATACTTATAACTTTTATAGATAATTGATTATAAAGAGTAATTAAACAATTACTATAATAACTCTAATCATATATATATATAAATTTCATAAAAATAAAATAATTAAATATAATTTTATTTATCAAAGTAATAATTTTCATGCTAAAGAATTACTTTGTTTAGATAAATCCCCTATACTGTTTTTATGCTTACATAAATTATATTAATTTAAATAAATTATTATATTTAAATAGCTTGATTATATATGTCTTATCTTCAATATTTAACTTACTTATTCTGGATATTTTTAATATAATATCATTATGTTTACAACAATTAAAATGATCTTTAAAAAATTGGATATTTGGTACCATTCTTAAGGATTGATGTATTGATTTTATCAATGTTTGAATTGGTTCGAATTCGTTTGGTGACTTTATTTAATCTCTTTTTATCAATTAATGAGATTAAGATTACCTAAGTGTATATTAAATTATCGAATAAAATATTTAATGCTAATTTAATAAAGACAACCACTCATTTAATTTGATGATTTTAAATCATTTATGGGTAGTTAATGGATTAAGATTAATTATTTAAGTCAAACTCAATCTATTTAATGCCCTAATGATTTTGTAAATTGTGTTGACCACAACAAAGAAAGAATTTAAATTGACTAAGAACAATTAGCAAAGTTCTAAACCTCTAACTAGAAAATAATGATAATCACATTCTTCATTTATGGATATCACATCACTTATATCGAAAAATAACAATTTCGTTATAATTTCTTCAAAAAGTTTATCTAAGCAATAGATAAAATCGAAATTAAAAGTCTCGAAAACTTATAATAGATAATTGAACCTTAGCATCCTATTTGCAAATCAATTTTACTTGAATGCATAATAATGCTTCTTCATCAATCAAGTTAATTATTAGAAATAAATCAATAAAATGAAATAGAAGAATATGATGATGATTATACTACTATACCTGAAAGCAAACTATTTTATAAATAGGCTTATATACATTTAGTAAATTAAATGAAAGATGTTTTGTTTAAATGTTACAATGAAGGATAAATCTTAATCTAAATATTCATCAACTAATTATTTTAGAGTGAGGAACTATGTTAAAAGATACCAAAAGAATATGCAATTAAAATTCGTTATTATGATACAAAGTTTATAATTGATTTGATGCAAGAATATATTGATTGTTCTGATAAGTTAATTCATGTTACAAGATTATTAATCAAATAGACATTTCTTTAGAATCAAGAAAGCTAAGGTAAAATATCATATCAAATATTTTCTAATTTATAGAAATTGAATGATAAAACATATTTATGTCTATAGGCTTTAAAAATTTGGTTGAATTCTAAAAACTTAACTGTCTTTTAATAAATTAGATAGTTTTTAGAAAATACATTTGAGAATTCTAATTTTAGCTATGAGTATGATTAATAATGTATCGATATATCATTTGAAATATTAAGTAAATTATATTAATATATATATAATAGCTAATATTAAATCTTAGGCATTTATAAATGGCACAAATTATACTGAATAATTATTATAGGAGTTAATATATATATTTGATATAATATGGATAACTTTGGAATCTCAAACTTGTAATCAACTTTTTGTTTAAAAGTATGATTTTTGGTTAAGTTATATTAATGGTTTAAATGAACTCCTTATTTCTTTGACACCCGTTTCAAAATAATCAAATGATATAAAAAGATGTGCTGGTCTATTTGTTATTTTACGTTATCATCAGAATATTTAAAATTATGTATCATCTTCAACTATTTTATTTCATTTTATTGATCAACTCTATCCATTAGATTAGAGTCTAATTAAATAAAGCATTTTACTCTAAAATTTGATTAAATCATCTATTGAATTTATAGTGGATCCATCTCTAGCATAAAATGAAGGAATAATGACAACAATAGAAAAAGTCTTAAGATAAGTATAATTTATAAGTCCATATTTTAAATAAAAGATATTTCAATATATTTGGACTAAATTGAATCCTGAAGATAGATTTTACTTATAAGTATTATAAATGGTAGTAACCTTATATTTAGAAAATGAAGATCATTCATTAGGAACTAGAAATAGTTTTTTTATTTCAATATTAGAAATGGAAAGTTAAAAGAAGATTGTTCATCCATAAAAATTTCATGCTTTACTTTAAATATGTTAATACTTATGTCTAGAAAATGCTTAAATAAATATGGAATAAATATTTTCTTAACATGATCCATATGCTAATTGTTTATATTTTAAGTAATTTAAAATTAAGAGAAGTTTCTAAGATTTTTTTTAAGTTAATAATTATTATAATTTAATAATAAATTTAATTTCTGGGATTAGTAATACTACAAATTTAGTATATTAATTAAAAGAGTTTATTAAATTATTATGGTTATTAACTGAAGGATTAAAATTATGTTAGATTGATTTTGCTGATGATTTTATTTCATATTTAGAATAAAAACTATATTTATTTACAGATGATTAAATGAGAGAACTTATTGAACTTCTATTTGATTGTTCAGTTTCTATGATAAGTAGATTTATAAGATTAAAGAATGCAACTAATACAGCTGAATAATATGGAGAGATAATTATATAAAATGAATTCTGTTTAAAAGTAAATAAATTGATATTTATTAAGGTTCTTGTTGAAACATTTCTATTTAATACAACTCCTTCAGAATAATTAAGACTTAAATGTCTATAATTCTTAGGTATACTAATTTCCATGAATGATTATAATAAGATGATATTTAGAGAAGCTATTAGATTATCAGTATAAAATCTTAAATTATAATTAGAACTTTTTATTATGTATGAGAAATTAGAAAAATAAGAATTTATAAAAATCTATGGAAGAAGTATTAAAAAGATCATTATCATTCATTAGAAATGATTAAATTTAAAAATTAATCTAAAATGCACCTAAAGAATCATAAAAAAATAAAGTTTTTAGATAATCTGCATTTTCATAATATGTAGGAACTACTTTAGAAAATCTATCAAATAGTGGTTCTGAAACTAAATTTAAAAGATAATTTTAGTTATTAGGAAAGGATAGTGGAATTATAATTAAAAATTACAAAGATATATGTATAAATAAATCATGGAAATCTTTTACAATTTTAATGGAATTCAAAAGGGAAGGTTTTCATTTTATTAATTCAAATGCAAAATCATTGGATGAAATTTATAAAAAAGAATAGATTTTATTTGCATATACTGGACATATAGAGAGACAAGATAAAGGTGGTCATTAAGGAACATCTTAAAAATAAAATATTGTCTAAGTTGATTTAATAATAGTTTCATTAATTAATTAATTTTTATATCAAGAAGAATAATAAAATTTAAATCCTCTTGATAATTATATAAAAATTGCAATACTTAATTCAGAATAATAAATGTAAGAATTTACAATTATTTACACATAATAATCAAAAGATGAAACTATATTACTTATGTTTATGTTTGATGATAGACATAAAGGAAAATTTAATATAAATATTTAAAATTAGGTTAAGAAATCTTTTTAAATTAAACCATTTTTATCAGAATATATCAAAAAGCATTCTGATAAACATCCTCTTAGTGTTAATATAGGTTCTTATTATTCAAATTAATAATTTTAAAGAACATTTTAAGGAATCATAAATAATTTTATATTTATTGAGAATATTTTATTGGATAAATAAATTGAATCAATATATACAAGAAATTAAACTAATTTAGTAGAAGCAGTTGAAAAGGAGACTATGAATTTTGGAGTTGATGAAATTTAAAGTATTATTCATTATTATTATTTTATTTAGGTAGAGAAATGTAGTACTTAGATTTTGAAAAATTTAAATCAAGTTTTTAAATTGCTGAAATTAAAGATGTTTTAAAAATTATTAGAGCTTAGAATATATAAGATTAAAATTTCATTATGAATATGATTAAGAAATAGATATAACATAAGATAACTTATGAATTAAATTAAGAAGCTAAAGTAATATATTAAGGGGCAAACATTATTGAAGATACAAGTTTAGCTGAAGTTTTCTTAAGTTTAGAGAATATTGAAATTATTCTATTCATCATATCTATTACAACTTAAACTTATTTTGATATAGAACCATAAGAAAGGAGATCTTGTAAGTTAAGAAGTGTTAAAGTAGTTTTGTAAAATGGATTTATTTCTAGTAAAGGAGTTTATAAAAGAACAAATTATTTTGATTCTTTATCAAGATCATTATTTTTTGTAAAGGATTTAAGAAAATGTAGAGATGATTATGTAAATTGTCATTAATTTCAATTGAATCTTATGAAATAAAATAGTTCTGTAATATCTTTAGGTGAATCTCCTGAATAATAAAGATAAAATTTTATTTAGTTAGAATCAGACAGTTCAAATTCAAATACTAATTCAATAAAATTAGCTACTCAACATCAAATTATTTCATAATAAAATGTAGATTAGATTGATTAAACTTCATTATTCAATATACCAATTATTTAAGTTTAAAACACATTCTCTTAAGAAATATAATCCCCTTTTGTTATTAAATCAAATGAGTCTGAATTCAAATAGAATTCTCCAGGTGATGTACCAAATATTGAAACACCAAATTATGTTTCTTAAAATGAGAAATTTACATTAGAGTAGTTTAATATAGATAGAAAAGTTAAATCTTAATTTACTGGAAGAAAAAATACAAGAAACTATACATGTAATATATAAGCAAAATAGGCATAATTAATAAGCAAGAATATATAAAATATGGCTGAAATATAGAGTGATAAAAATATTGATTGGCATCAATAATAATAGAGTGAATCAATAATAATGGATTCTAATTTATATCATTGTGAATGGATTAGGGTAAAGATGTAAATATATGGTGAATTAAAAATATTAGAAAAAGGAAAAATCATTTAATTTTAAAGTGATGGTTAAGAACGACCTGATAAAGAATTCTACATATATGGAACAATAGTATTACATTATATAATAATATTAATAGCCTTATAATTTAAAGAAATTGAAGAAAAAGAAGATTATAAACACTTCATAAATTTTGGAAATTTAAACTAGAAGATATTCATATAAAGAAATTGCTATAGAGATATTCTGCAAAAATACCAAATCTTATTTTTTTGTTTTATATGATTAAGAGAGAAGAACATAATTTTTGAATTAAATAAAATAGAACAACTTTTTCAGTATTGTAATAGACAAAAGAGCAGGTAATTAATAGATTTGATGAATTTTTAGAATTTTAAGCAAAAGAATATACAAAAAAATGGGTGAAAGGAAAATTATCTAATTTTGAATATTTAATGTTAATTAATAAATATTCTGGAAGATCATTTAATGATTTAAATTAATATCCAATATTTCCATGGGTTATTAGTGATTATAAAAGCAGGACTATTGATTTAGTAATTAAATTAATTATTATTAAAATAGAATAAAAGAGAAACTTATAGAGATTTAGAAAAGATGATAAGTACTTCAAATGAAGAAAGATTAAAAAATTGTAAAATTAGAGCTGAATCTCTAAAATAAACTTAGAATGAATATTTTTTATTTGGATCTCATTATAGTGTAGCTGCATAAATAATTAATACACTTGTTAGAATAGAACCATTTACAACATTATCTTGTGAATTACAAGATGGAAAATTAGATTAACCTGATAGAATATTTTTCTCAATTTCTAATATTTGGGAATCTTGTTAAAATGATAATTAAGATTATAGAGAATTAATTCCAGAATATTTTTACTTACCAGAATTTCTGAAGAATATTAATAAAATATAGTTTGGTTAAAGATAGAATTAAGAATAAGTAGATGATGTTGTATTACCTCCATGGGCTTCTAGTTGTGAAGAGTTTATTGAAATTAATAGATAGGCACTTGAATCAAGTTATGTAAATGAAAAATTGCATAATTGGATTAATTTAATTTTTGGACCATATGCCTCTGGTGAAGAAGCAAGAAAAAGGGATAATTTATATCATTGGTTAACCTATGATTCATGTTTAACATACTTAGATAAATTGCCAAGTTAAGAACGATTGGGATATTTAGCTTAAATATAGTAGTTTGGTTAAGTACCTTTTTAATTATTTACAAAACCACATTGGCCTAAATAAAAATAAGAGTAGAATCTATTTTCACCTATGAACTTAATTAAACTTTTAAGTGAAAGAAAATCTCTTAATTCTAAAAGAATAATTAAGTTTGATAAAAGAGTTGCTATAAAAATCTATAAAGAAAGTGAAAATTTACATGTTCTATTGAATGATAAATAAGTTTATAAATTAAAGTATTCATATTAAAATATTTTAGATTTAATAGTAATTAAGAGAGAAGAGATAGTGAAGAAAAATTAGCAAATGCATCATCATTTTCTATTAGAGGAAATGAGAAACTCCATTCAAAAGTATTATAATTTTAATTTGATGACCATGTTCTATTTGTTTGTGGATATTTAAGTGGAGCAGTTTATATCTATAATTTACTAGTTGATAAATCTTAATAAGCTTAGATAAGTCATAAAATCAAATTACATAAAAAAAGAGTCACTTGTTTATCATATTCCCCTAAATTGAAAATACTATGTTTGGGTGCAAAAGACAATAGAGTGACTATTTGGAAAGCCATTCATTCTAATGATAAATAAATTTCATTCTTATAAACTCCTTCTTTAATTCTATATGGTCATGATAAAACCATTAAATGTGTTCATATTGATGATACTTTATAAGTTGTAGTAAGTTTGGATAAAATTGGGAAATTATAAATTCATTCTATTATATCTGGATTATTTTTAAATGATATTAAACTTGATTTAGTAGAGGGTGAAAGAGTATAAAATATAGTATCAAATGGAAATGGATTAATAGTATTATACACTACAAATAACTAAATTATAGCTACCAGGTATTATATAAATAATAATATTGCTAGAATTAATGGTTTGAATATTTAGAGATATTCTTACAATAATATGGGTAGTATAACTTAAATTAGTATATATTTATAATCTCATTTATTGGTGTCTACTCTAAAAGGCGAAATACTTATAATATAAGATATAGCCAGTCTACCAGATTAACCTCCTATATTTTTCCATTTGTATCAAAATACATCCAATATAGGAATTAAGACATTTTGTTAATGTATTTTAACTTGAATATCAATTAGTTATGGAGAATGAAGCTTTTATCTTATTAGCAAGTTTGATGGATGGATCATTATATAGATTTGTTATAAGTTGCGAATAAAGTAAAATTGATAATTTATTTAATAGACGTTGAATTTTATCATTATTTAGGCAAGTTAGGAATGTGAAGAATTAGTAAAATTGTAAATTTGATTAATTAACTTTATCTTTAAAAATTAAGTTATCATATAAACAATAAGTACAATATGATTCTGAAACTCTCAATTTTTAATAGAATATCAGAATCATGTAATTTTATGTATTAAATTAATTTAATTATCCCTCTCTTATTATTAATAAATTATGGGAAATTCTATAGAGATTAATTAAACATTATCCTACTCGACTATTCAAGGTTAAGAGATACTTCTTCCTTTCAAGGACTTAAAGGGATAGTAAAATTTTCCTAAAGTGCCTTCAAGAGAAAAAGATATTGAAATTATGTTTCAGAAATGGCTTAACAAAGTAAATGATTATTTGAATATTACAGATTGTTATTGGAAGAAGGGAAAAAGAAAAACTTAAAGGAATTCCTCTTAAATATAAATTTAGATTATGTTACAAACATGACTAAATAATTTAAGAATTAACAAAAGGGGAATAATATAAATAGAAAGTTATATAAGAAACAGATACATTAATTTAGAAGGTATTATCATAACAAGATATTGTATCATTAGAAGGTACATATCATATACTAGAATAAAAGCATTATCAAGAAATTTAACAAATGATGAACTTCTTGAACATAAGATAACTGTGCTATCTAAGGTGGATCTAATTGCTAAATTAGTGGTAGAATTGAAAACCTAAGAATTGTTATCAAGACATTCCAAAAATTTTAGAGATTAGATTGTAATTATCAAAATCTTTGAAAAGTTATTACATCATGAATCAGGTAATCTTAAAATTGTTATTATTTTATAGGTATATAATTATTATGTGATACTTCTAACTTTTTCTAAATTATGTTTAGTACATTCCATCCTGTTGAACCAGAAATTACTGGATTAATGTTATAAGTTTTAGGAGGTAAATCTGGTTTGTGTTGGCAACCTGAATGTTTAGATAACATTCTTGATGCTATGACTGAATTTTAAAATAATCACAGATTATAAACTAAGTAATAGATAATAATATTAATTATAGATTTGATGTAATAATTAGAAGTATTTATTATACAAAGAATTTAATTATTATCTATCATCTACTTTAATTTTTATTTAATTTTTTATTTTCAGTTGAAAAACCTGAATCTGATGCATTACATAAAGAATTATTAGAAACAGTTATAAATGGTAAAAGAATTGATGAAATATTTCAATAAGTGAAAATTAGAATTGTTAAAGATTATTATTAAATTGAAGAATGTACATATTAAGGTGTTAGATAAAAATTAGCTTAATTCTAACATCCTCTTGTTGAAAAATTGAATTAAGATAATGAATTTTTTTCAATGTAAAGATTTAAAACAATTACAGAAAAACCACCTAAAGATTTTATTAAACCTAATGTTGAATTTGATCTTGAAGAAACAGGTAGAATTAAATTCGAAAATTGTTTTTATTTTGAATAACATGATATTAAACTATTTAGTATTTTAAAAGTTCAAATTTTTGAACTTATGGATGGTATTTTAAATATTGATTCTATTTTAATTTAAATTGAAAATGATGATCAAGAACAAACAGAAATCATTTCTAATCCAAATGATGTCTTCAATGAAATGTAAACTTTGGCTGAAGTAGATGAAGAAGAAGAAGAAGATGATGATAATAGATTAGTTAGTTTTTCAAAAATAAAGAATAATGATTAATTTAGAAATTAAAGCAATATGATTAAATATGTCAATGCTAATTTACAATAAGAATATAATACATTAGAAGAAAAACATTAAATTCTATTTTCTAAATATGAAGAGATGGAAAAATAATTTCGTGAATTATAACATAAATTAATTGATGAGTAAGATAAAAATAAAAAACTTGAAGAATAAAATGAAAAATTAATATATCATTCAACCTATCAAAATTAAGATTAAATTAACACAATAGTATAAGAATAAATTGAATTTCTTAAATAGCAGAATTTATTATAAATAACTTCATTAACTGATGAATTGACTTAATTGAAAGATTAAATTTAAAATTAAAATTTTGTTGAAAATTAATTAATTAATTAAATTGAAATCGAAAGAACAAAAATTTAAACATAAAAACAATAAATTGATTTACTATAGCGATATATTGATTAATATGCTTCATTACCTATTACAGATAAAATTGATGAATAATAAAATGAAGTCTAGAAATCATAAATTGATACTAATAATTTAAATAATACTCAAAAAAACTAAGATAAACCATAAATAGATGGAAAATCAAAAGATGATATTTTATCTGAAAAATAAAATTAACAAATTGAAATTTCAGAATAAAATTAAAAACTTTAAAATGAGATATTAGATTAAAATAATAAAGATTAATTCAATTTTGTAAATACTAATTAAGATACAAAACAATAAATAGAAAATGTTAAAAATGAATAAATGATTGAAAGAAAATAAATGTTTCATTAAGAATCATAAACTAATCAAAAAACATTTGTAACTTAAGAGGCTTAAACTACTTTTGAGTTTCAACCTAATCCTTCTACTTAAGTAACAGCGTAAGAACAGAAGGATAAATAAGTTAATATACCTCCTGAACCAACTAAAATAAATATAGCTCCTCCACCTCCTCCACCACCACCTACTGAACCAACTAAAATTAATGTAGCTCCTCCTCCTCCTCCACCACCACCTCCTAGTTCAAAAACTGGAGGACCTCCTCCACCTCCCCCTCCTCCTCTAAAAGGAGTTTAATAAGCACCTAAACCATAAGAATCTCTATTTCCTTTTAATAAGAGCGAACTTATTCCATCAGTTCCTACTAAACCTTTAAATTGGATTTTGATATAACCATAAAATATGAAGAACACTATTTATGAATAAATTTATTAAGAATCCTATGAAATAGATACAAAATACTTAGAAACATACTTTTATAAAATTTAATCTGCATCATCTACTTAATAGCAAAATAGTGAAAATCAGATTGTTAAGAAAGTAGTATAAACCAAGATACAATTGATTGCAACAGATAGATCTAAAAATATTGAGTTAGTCTTAGGAAAAATTAAGATACCAAATGCTTTGATCATGAAATCATTATTATCAATTGACTTAAATATACTAAATGATTCTGCAATAGATTCTTTAGATACAATAATCCCAACTGATGAAGAAATTAAAATTGTATTAATTATTATAATTAATTTAAGATAAGTGAATTTTAAGGTCAAAAAGATTTGCTTGGAGTTGTTGAAACTTTTATAGATAGTATTAGATAAATTAATGGATTTTAATTTAGAATCAGATCATTAAAATTTAGATCAGTTTATGATGATTATAAATAAGATTTAATTGATAAAATGGCCATTTTAACCTCAAGATTTTCAGAAATTAGAAATTTAAAAGGATTATAAAAGATATTATTAATAACTTTAAATATTGGTAACTTTTTAAATGGTAAAAAATAAATTTATTTATTATTAGCCAAGACTCCTCGAGGCAAAGCTTTGGGTTTTAAAATAGAGGCTCTTGACATCTGTGCTGAAATCAAAACATCTGACAATTAAAATAATAATTTATTACTCTATATAATAGAAAAAACAGAATAAATAATAGGAGGTGAAATCATTACTGAAGAAAGTAATAAATATTATTGAAATTTAGAAATGAAATCATTTGAAGTACTTTAGAGAGTACCAGTTCATCAATTAGTAATTGATTTAGGAGACATTAAAAAAGGTTGTAGTTTTATGAAAAAAGCTATGGAATCATAAACAGATGACCCATAAGATTTAGTATAATAAAAATTTAAGGATGGATATGAATCAATCACGAAAGACATTGAAGATCTTGACAAAAAGATTAATAATTTAGAGGAAGAATATAAAAAATGTGCATAATTTTATGGTGAAAATCCAAAAGATCCATCAGATAAATTTGGAGATAAGATTTTAAAAATATTCAGGCAAATTTTAAGATAAAAATTTGAGAAATTGTAAAGAGAAGAAAGAGCGAAAAGATAAGAAGCTTTAAAAAAAAGATAAATGTTGAAAAGTACACCATTAACTGCAAGAAGAGCAGATGAAGGACCTAAACCACCTCCAAAAGAAGCATAAAGATAATCAGTCTTAAAACCTATAATTCCAAGATAATCTATTAAAGAATCTACAAAACTTGAAGTACCTGGAAATAAAGGTCCAAAAAAGAGTTTTATAGCTAATGAAATTAGCTAGCTTCGTCATATGAAATAAGTTAGAGCTAGTATTTTAACTATAAATAAAAAATGAAATATAATGATTGCTGGCTATCTGAGTAATTTATAAAAAGTAAATAATTTATATATTTTAAAATCAAATAATTGTATTTAGACTTCTATTTTATAATCATAAACTTAAATTGATTGAATATTCCTTTTATTCATTTACTATATTTAGAATAATATAGAGTATAATAAAGTAATAAGGTTTTAGTTGGTTTAAAAAATTGATAAAATTTCACCAAAATATACTTGATATTTATGAGAAATGGAATTTGTTTTAGATTCAAATTTAAAATCAATTAATAAATATGATTCATGAGATATAACATAAACAATCATCAGCTACTGCTTTCTCCTTATTTACATTATAAATTTTCCAATTTTCAACTATTTAAACATCAGCTAGACCTTCTTTTGGAAAAATCTCATCTCTAAAAGTTATTGAGAATTTTTTGTTCTAACCATTGATTTCATTGTTATTTTTATCTGTTCTTATTTTATTTTCATGTCTTTTAGCACTAATTTCTGTTGGAAGTTATTCAAAGCACCAATTGATTTCATTATCTTGATCAATACTTTGATCACCTTTGCAAGTCGATATTCTTATCATTTCTTAAATAAATTATATGTTTTAAGGGAACTTAATTTATGAAATGAAAATCGTAATCAAAGAATAAATAAATAAAAATTCTAAGAAAAGTTTCTTTTTTCTTTTATTTACATAAATAATTTATAATTAAGGTGTTGTTTTAATTGTTAAAATCTTTTATTTTATTCAATGATTTTGATTATTATTTATAAAATATTTACAAAACTCGGTATTTAGTAATTTCCTTAATGAAATATACAAGATTTCATAATTTTTTTTTAACTTCATGAAATTTACTTATAATAATAAAAAACTTAAATAAATGATCTTTTATAATAGGCTTATTTGATTATGAGTATTATTTACATATTAAAATGAATTTCAATTAGAACTTAACAATAATTTGATATTATTTAGTAATCAGATTGTGAATGAAGATTATTATAATGAATGTCATATATTTTGTATATATATCGATCATACTCCTTACATTTATAGTTTAGAGGCTACATCTAAGTCTTTAACCATTTTCTTAAATTCTGCAAAGGAAATCTTAGAATCAAAGTCTTCATCTGCTTTGATTATGGTTCTATCTACTAATTGTTGTAATTGAACATCAGTTAAATTATTTCCAACCATCATCTAAAGCACTTTGAATAACTCTCCGTTTGTAATAAATCCATCTTGATCTATATCATAAATTTTAAACATAAATTTTAACTTCTCTTCTTCATCATTACCATACAAACTGGAAAGTCCAGTGATAAATTCAGCAAAACTTATCTTACCATCATTATCTTTATCAAATATTTAAAACACTCTTTTCACTAATGGATTTTGTGATAGCTCAGGAACATCAAACAATTCAGATGGTTCTAATTGACCAGAGCCATCCTTATCTAAGAATTGAAATCTCTTGTAAAGCCTTTTAATCTCTTGAGGTTAGAATGTACCCATTTATTCTTCCATTCCTTGACCATTTCCCATTTTTGATTTTGTTATTAAAAATATTAATAATCCTTATATATAAAATTAATTTTGTATAATCCGTCAATCTATATAAATCAGGATCTGAAATTTTTAATGGGATATAAAATTTATGATACAACTATAAAATTATCAATAAATTGATATTTATCATATATATTTTTGTTTTTCTTCTTCATTATCTCTTCCAATTTTATTTTTTACTAATAATTCTTCAAAGAAGATAGTTAAATTTTTGCTTAGTTCTTAATCATGAATATCTATTTTTTTTTTGTCTATTGGTAAAATTTCTTCTAAAATACATTTTTTCCATTCTTCTTAAAATTTGATAGTGTAATAAAACCTATCATATAGTTTATATCTATTTTATGAATTTTCTATATAGAAATTCTTGATTATGTCTAAATTTTGTTTTCTTATGTTTTCTTTTTCATTAAACTCTTTATTATTTTCTACATTTTTAAACTCCTATTAAACTCGATCCTCAAACTTTTAATCTATTTCATCTTTTTTCTTATTTTCAGCTTCTTTTTTTTTTGTCTCACGTGAATTCTTTTCGTTTTCCAACATTTATTTTAACTCTCTTTCTAATCGTATTTTTGTAGAGTATCTAATATTTTTTGAATTAAAATTTAAAAATCCTTCTTATTCTAATATTTAAAAAAATTTATGTTCTATTTCAGTAGTCATATATTCTTTATCTTCATTTTTTTTATTAATCCTTTCTTCAAAATAATTTAAGATTGCTATTATCTATTCATTTCCTTGTCTATCCCAATAATTTTCAATAAAATAATCAAATAATTTTTTCTACCAATTTAACAACTTTCTGTGCAATTATAACTCATTTTAACAATTCTTTTTGAATTCTTCATTACAATTTCTAATAACTATCTCAAAATTGCGTTTAATGTTTTAAACATCTTCTTAAAAGTATTCATAATCTGTTTCTTAAGTTTCATTATTTACGTATTTATCTATTGTATTTTTTATTTCTGTGGGGTTTTCATACAAAGATTATTCAATCTCATAAAACATATCTTTAATAATATTCATTGTTTATTATATAAAATGGCTATCACCATCCTTTGCCCTTATTTAAAACTCAGTCTTACAACAATATTTTTTTATTTAATAATTAATCTATTGAAGCTACTTCAAATTTTCCTCTATACTTACATTTTCATCTTAATAATTCAAAAATATAATCTTCATTGATTTTTATGGTTTAATTTCTGCATTAAATCCTTTCTCTGTATAAATCCATATATTTTCTAATTTTATTTTAGGTAATGTTTTCGCTTCTTTTCTGTAAACTTCAATAACCTTCTCGTAAATTAATTTTATCAATATTAAGCATTAGCCAATACTCAATCGAATAATTTAAGATAACTATGTTAAATAACATTTTACATATGATTTAAGAAGGATCTCAAGTGATATATAGTTTGATCCTTCAAGTTAATAAAAAAAATAATCTTCATCGTCTCTTTTACAAATGTAGTGTACTTCAGGGAGGTATTAGTTCTTTTTTTTTCGAAATGTAAATTTATATATGCCTTCCAAATTTTCCATTCTCTCAAATTCTATTAAAAATTATGATTTAAAAAAATAAAATTTTTTTAGATTTATATGAAAGGGTGGTAGAATTAGTATGAGATAACATAAAAAGTAAATAGGAATGATGATTCTTATCTTCAAAAAATAATGTACTTTGAAAATAATGAATATCGAAACACTTAATAAATAATAGATCATATAGATTATAAATTTCATTAGTCTTAATGTTTTAGCTTACATTAATTAATAGAATCAATGGTATATTGATTATAATTGTTAGAATTACAATTTCACAAAGATCTATAAAGGATAACTTATAATTATTATATTAGAAGTCTTAAAACATCTTTAATAATTACATAAATAGAAAATATCACATAGAAAATTAATACCTTAAAACATTATTATCTAATTAAAAAATGATAATAAATTAACAATCATATAAACTAAATTTACAATACAAAAAGTATATTTTATAAATTATAGTATTATTGATGATTCTAATTATCAATTTAATTATATAGAAGATATTAATTAAATAATTGATTGTTTTATTTAATTTATTTAAGCATTTTCAAATTAATAGTGTTAATTATTCAAGACCATTTGTAATATATTGAATGATTATAAAAATATAATAAACGAGGATGATTTAAATAAATTAATAGGCTTTTTTAATCTTCTAATTTAAAAGTATTTAATAATATAATTTTATTTTAGTTGTGTAGATTTATAATAGTAAAAACTAAATAAAGGTTAAATGTATTTATAAATTAAATTAAATGAATCAAACATTTAAGAAATTAAGTATTAGGAAGGAGAAGAATATGGGATTTTAACAAAAAGATAAAGAAATTAAAATGTAATCTTAAAATTTATTGAATAATTAAATGAATAGAGCATTATTTATGAATTACAATCTCATAATAATAATAATAATGAGAACAATTATGTAGATTAAATTTTATTATTTGACATTTCATAATTAAGTTAAGATGAATTAAAGATATTTAATGTTTTTGAATCCATTATAAAATAATAAATGATGAAGATAATTTGGTATCACATAGGAGCCTATTTAGAATCTTGGGAATCAGATTTTTGTAAATTAATTGAGGCAATCCTTAAAGAAATTAATTAATCAAATAAACATATCTTAAAAACTGAATTAATTACAATTCTTAAAGAATTCAATAATATTAACTAATTGAATAAATAAATAGAAAAAGAGATTGAAACAGATTATAAATTCTAAATTAAATATGATGAATAGAAAGCAAAAGATTAATTCATTTTAGAATTAAAAATTTAATCATAAAATTACTCTAAATAGAATTTTCAAAGCTTTATTGATTAAATCAAATCTAATGTAAAAATTGAATTAGAAAACTATTACAATCAACTTGTTATGATCGAGATTTTAGCCCTATAAGATTATTTGATTTGAAATCAATTTACATCATATTTTTTGAAATAAATAAATATTATAAATAATTTATTAAGGATAATTGAGAGAAATAAAAAAATGAATGCTAGAATTTAAAGGTAAACTGAAATAATACTATAAAATCATTCGACCTTTTCTGATGGTACTGCTACTATAGGTGCTACAGAATATGCTTCCAATTGTAATTAGTTTTAGCCTTGTCATAAATAAGATTAAAATACCAACAGCAACATAGGCTAAACCTTTAAGACCCCAAGAATCTCCCCATGAATTTTCAATAATCCAATAATTAACTCCATCTTGTTTGCCCCAACCAATAACCTTGACTGCATGTCCATATTGGAACCTAAATAATAAGATATATGATTACTTTGAACTTCCTTCGACAATTTCATAGATTCCTCCTTTATATACAAGAAAGTCTTTAAATACTTGGATAACTGCAACAACAGGTCCATTATTTAAAATTTCTCTTTTAATGTTTTCTTCACTTGAGACAATGCAATAATCTTATATCTTATATTTTTCACAATTAGTAAAGAGAGCATCACAATTATCTTTTGCATCTTCAGTTCCAGTGTATGGTAAACAAGAGGTTGTAACAAATCCTTACTTTTTACCAACTTCCAATACTCTAGTAACACTTCCTCCTCCACATCTATAATTTTTATTATCACAAGAGATTGGTGATTATGGTGATAATTAATCTTAAAATTCACCATTTCTCACTTTACATAATCTATCACTTGTAGCTGAAACAGCAGCAATAGAATAGCTGGATGAACAGTTTCCTATTGATTAATCAATATATTACCTTGATTGTAGATTGGTTAAGCACATTCTGGTTAAACTTCTCTAAAATTGTAGCTCTCTGGGATTATAACTCCACTCTCTGGACATTATGGAATTTTTCCTTTGAATGTTAAATGATTATTAAAAATGAATTTAGCATCACTAAATTTCCAATCTTTAAAGAAATCATTCGATCCTTGTAAATAAGATCCTAAAGAATTATGCCCAGCAATTTCTTCTTCATCAATTACTGGGGCAGTATTGAGCTTTTTACTTGAGCGTGTTAATATAGATATTAATGCATAAACACACACAAATCCAAATGCACCAATTACCAAATGGTAAGCATATTTTTCAAAAAAGCTTGGTTATGTTTGATTTCTTCTTTTCATTGCTTAAGCTGCCTTTTCTCTTTATGCAACCTTTTCTGGAGATTAAGGAGAAGGACTTCTTTATCTTTACGATACTTAACTCATCTTTTAATTTAATTATTTAACACGTTTTATTAATTAAATTTAATATATACATTAAATATAAATACTACATATACATTAATTTTAATATTTTATTGATTTATTAATGAATATCAAATGTCTTGGATATTTATCTCAATATATTTGGTTGTTCAATAAACATCATTTAAATTAAAAAAATCTAATATTTAGTAAATTAATTAATTTCTTTATTTGTTGTAAATTTGGTTAGTATTATTATTATTTATGCTATTGATATATCATTTTTGGTTAATAATATAATTTTCAATTAAACATAATTGATTGTTTTTCATTATTACTATTAAAAATTATAAAATCTTAAATTTTACAAGTCATTCATTTAATTTTTAAAGAAGAATTATAAATTTTAAAGACATTCATATTTAACATAGTTAATGTATTTTTTTTTAATTTCCCTTAAAAAAAATCAAAATCAAACCTGAGTTTTTCTAAGTAATGATGATTCATTAGAAAAATATCTTTATAATTTATATAAATATATTAAATTAATAAACTCTGCTTATTAATTTATTTTTATAACTTACTCTACTATTTTTCTAATTTTTTGAATAAACCTCATTCAAATCCATTATAATTAATAATTTTTTCATCAAAAGGATTTCTATTAATAAAATAAAAGATTCTATTAATTATTTTATTTATGAGCTCTAAACTTTAATCTTTAATATGATTAGAGATCAATAATTATTAAATTTTAGTTTATCCCCTCCTTGAGTATAAACCCAAATTAGGATCTGGAATGGAATAAAGATATAAATTATTATTTTTATCTAAAATGATATAAAATTTTTTAGTCATCTTTATGAATTATAATAAATATTGATACTTTAATTTATTCAATATATA